GTGTGTGTGTGTGTGTGTGTGTGTGTGCGTGTGTCGTGTGTGTGTGTGTGTGTGTGTGTGTATGTGTGTGTGTGTGGGTATCTATGTGTCTCTATATATGATATATGTATGTGTGAAATCGTATGTACGTAGCCTTAGAAATACACTTGAATGTTAGGTATCATGAGATAGGATATTTATACTCATTTGTAGTCCAATATGGTAGATTACTACTTCTGCCTTTTTGAATGGGTCGATCGGTCTCATTTGCTTGTTTGTAGTCATTTTCCTGTTCATATGGAGAAAGCTTGCGCAAACATCGGCCTGTTTTTATTGGTCGGTCAATACAAGATACCGACGTCGAAAATTGTTTTGATTGGCCCATAATTGCGTAAACTGCGGATTGGCCCATAATTGCGTAAACTGCGGATTGGCCCATAATTGCGTAAAGTGCGCGAGCACAACGTGCACTTCATGCTGCAATACTTAAATTTGATTTATCAAAAGTCCGCTACGCAAACCTTTTTGTAAACACTAAAAGATGTACCACTGTTAGTGCAGTACTCGTATTTGATTGGCCGAACGCCCGCTCCGCTGACTCAATGCTGTGTATTGTTTGGTCAATAGACGCATCTCCTGCGCACACACACAAGTGCACATCAGGCCGACATGCTGCGACAAGGCAACCGCAACTTCCTGCTGGCGGGTGATGTGTATAGACGTGATGAGATCGACAGCAGCCATTACCCTGTATTTCACCAGATGGAAGGTGAGCTCATATATATATATATATATATGTCTGTGTCTGTGTCTGTGTGTGTCTATGTCTGTGTCTGTGTATATATATGTACGTGTGGGTGGTATGTATATATATCTGTGTTTCTGTATGTATGTATACGGTTGTGATGAAATCGGCAGCAGCTATTACCCTGTCTTTCACCAGTTTGTGGGTGGATTCACAAGTGTGTGTATATATGTGCGTGTATGTATATATATGGTCGTGATGAGATCAATAGCATCCATTGCCCTATGTTTCACCAGATGGAAGATGGATTCACATGTATATGTGTATGTGTGTGTGAGTATGTATATATATGGTCGTGATGAGATAAATAGCATCCATTACCCTATATTTCATCAGATGGAAGCTGAGTTGACATATATGTGTTTGTATGTATATGGTCGTGAGCGAGTTCATCCGCTTTGGCACTCGCCTGTTTGATGCAGTAGTGTTTGTAAACACATTAGTTTAGTGACGTACCATATCTAGCCATGATCATTTTCATACTCTGTATTGTATAAGCATATCCTTGGACGATAAATATATCGAGGGTATCTCCTGAAACACTCATCCATGACTCATGTATGACTCATGTATGACCCATCCATGACAGATGTATGACTCATGTGTTCCCTATTCACAACATACATACCTGCAGGTATGCGCATGTTCGGCCCGGGAGAGATCCCCGGCTTGGAGCTGTTAGAGGAGGGTGAACGCACCGAAGAGAAGCAGGAGAAGCACACTTTGCTGGCAGCTCAGTACGCGGAAGCGGATCTGAAGAAAAGTGAGTGAAGTGGGAATTGGCGCACCTGATATGTACACATGCGGATGATAGAAACGTATATATATATTTATATATTTATATATTTATATATATATATATATATATATATATATATATATATATATATATATATATAT